ATTTGTAAGTGTCTGTCTAATGTACATTTCAGTACCTTCTGATTGTGTATGCATGTTGCAACTTAAGTACTTCCGCCCATTTCATGCTAAATTCCTGGAAAAGAAAACAATAGTATGTCTGGAAATATCCTTCTAATTCAATTGTTTAGCTTGAAAAAAAGGGGGAACATGAACATAAGTTTTTATTATGCATATCCCAGTAGATCCCGGTCTATTTACGGTTAAAACTGGTTACTGAAATTAGTTCTGGGATTGATTATTTTAACATGTATGTCTCGCAGCATGGGATCAATCCCAATGCATATCCCGACAAGAAAAAATCATCTGACCTAAAGTCAATAATAGGGGCGATCCCAACTTTAAATGAATGTCCGGTACACCGGACTGTGACCGATGTCATGAAAGATTACATTATTTAAAATGCAATTCCCAACAACTTATGACCCATTCCAGTGCATTCCTTAACCTCTTAAAGCCCGCGCAACCACACTACTGAGATGGCCCTGTTGGTTCGGGAACAGCACCTAGAGACGTAATTGGTAGTCCGAAATACAAAGCCAATAAATCAAAATCCCTCTGTATATCAGATAATGTGACTAAGGATGTAGGAATTTCCAAAGTCAATTCGAACCCAATAATTGCCCCGACAAGTTGAGCGGACGGCCTCAACCATAACTCGCATTGCATGAAACAATATACATCCTGTTGAGATGGCAACAGCAATGAGAACTTCCCTGAAGTAAAAGGTCTACTAAATCAGTACTAGTCTCCCGCGGTGACAAGGAAGTCTTCCCGATCGTTCAGCAATCAGTTCCATTCTCAGACCATGAAGAACGATCTAGGGAATGGCAGGGAACTGCCAAATGTCAGACAATTCAGACAATTCCCCAACCTATACTGGCGCCCTGCTACGCGAAGAGTTCAGGAATCCAGCAAAAGTTGCTCTGTCACATCACCCAGTGACATATGTTGAGATGGCAACAGCACCGGAGAGATAATCCAAATATATATGGCATAGGATACATCAGTCTTTAAACCAACATTCTCTCCCCGCAAATTTGTGTTTAATCCCCAGTCACTACGTGGAACGCGAAGAAACCTCAACCAACTGACCAGCCAGGACAAGTCCTGCAGGCAACTGGCCACCCGGAGTGTTAGATTATATGGTGCTCTGGTTCAACCCCATGTCATATCATTCCAAGAATATTGCAATAACACCAAGATGGAGATTTCACCAATGTAACATGCGCCCGGGGGTCGTCTAAGAAGAAGGCCGTTTAACTCTATATTGATTACAGAAATGTTGCGTAAGTTTATATACATATTATGGATCCTCATTACATTTTATGACGATCTAGCCATATCGGCCTATTAAAAGTACGATAGAGTCGAACGGGGGGAGGTAGCAGGATGTCATTTTCCTAAAATATTCGCTTTTGATAAGATATAATTTGATATTAAAATAGTCTATATCGATCCATTATAACTTCAAAAATACAGTTTAATTGAGATATAATTTTCTATGAATTGTTTTATACACCCGCAACGAAGATTGGCCCAAAAGCGACTCTGGTCAACATATAGATCTCCTTCAGAAACTACGCTTTAAACTAGTCTTATAGAAACTAAAATTTTATGACTGACCCTAACGCCATGTAGCAGCCCCTTACAGAAAAATAGTTTTTTGTTAACAAATTATTCAGAAATTATGAACCAACCCCCGTCCTTGCTACTAATTTCTAACGTCGGGCTATGGAGAAATATAAAAAGTTCAATGTGACCACACTCTATGTTTGTTTGAAAGAACAACTTTAGCACCCTTTAAACTGTAGGGGCATATAAATATACATCAGTGTATGTTTGGGTGTAGTTTTATATCCTCTATGCGTCTATAATTTTACTGTTATGATCATGACACGCGATTTACATTACATTTCTAGTGTTCGAAAATTATTGCATTTAAACGAATGTGTAGCTATGTAAAATGGTTTATACATATACTATATGTATGTACATACATATATTTAGCATATAGTCGGAATATTAAAGAATCAGAAAAATTAATATTTTGATCGTTGTCTACTGCACTAAATTCAATCTATACTATTTTTTGAGAAATTATTAAATTTGGCCCCGATAACAACAGATTTTTTGACAATTAACCACATAAAAAAAATTCGAAAATCACTTCAAAATTATTAATTGTTGGTGTAGGGTAACAGATAGTGGATCATGGCCAACTATACTTAATTTTAGTTGTAAGAAATCGATTATTTTATTTATTAGTAATTCCTTTAAGAAATATTATTATTACTTACGATTGCACTCTTTGAAAATCTGCTATTAAATGTGGTTACTCGAATTGCTTTAATTTAGTGCAACTCCCTAAAGTATACCTGCATTTATGTAATTGTATGAATATTGAATCATTTGAAAAGTTTAAATTAGTTTTTAAAAATGTGTTGATACTTGTACTAATTTTTTCCAACTTTATTACTATTATTTTTCTTTACCACAATAAGAAGGGTGTTGCAATTCAAACTTTTTATTTTCTACACTTGCAATTATTTTCTACGCCAAAAGCAATATATATGAGATATATGGGTACACCATTTATCTCACTTATTCCCGATTGGTCTGGAACCGATTTTAACCATTTTCAATATGCTTCGTCCTTGAGCCAAATAAAAGGTGTATGTGCCACATTTCATCCAATTATCTTGAAAATAGCGACATGTACCCTACGCACAAGGTACAGTCAGCCAGACGTAAGGATGGACAAGTCTTAATCGACTCAGAAAACGATTATAAGCCGATTTAAGGTGGGTATTGTGTGTTACAAACATCAGCACAAATCCACAAAAGTGGTGTAGGGTATAAAAAATGTCCACTAGCTTAACAAACCACAAGTTAGAATTGGTATAATTACGCACTGGTATAATAAAGCACCCTGTCATAGTGACCATAGTGCCTGTTTTACGCCTATGGTTCTCCTATACAGTGCTCAGCACAAATGTACCTAGCTGATACTATCCTTTATATGGTGTCTCCATCTTAATTTTCGGACTAGGAATACACATAACTCTTTGGGTCATCAATATTTTCTGGTCCTTAAAAAAAGGTTTCAATGTACTGAGTAATTTTCGTAATTCTTGTAAAAAGATAGCTTTCAGTCTTTGCCGGGTTAATATTCTTTCTCCTCGGTTGAGCCGAGTTTAAGTCCGAGGACAAAATTCTCCCTGAGGTGTACCGTACTTGTGAAAGTTTCTACTTTTATTTTCCTGTTCATTTCCTAATTGAAAATAGTTTTGTTCTCCTTTCAGTCTGTTTCTTTTCGTGTATAAAGTTTTCTGTTATTTTAACCACTTGATAATTATGTTAATGAATACATACCAAGTCAAATGAAAAAAAACTTTTGCTGAAAGTTTTCTTTATAGTTTACTTTCGAAAGTAATGAAAATAGGATCGAAATGTAGTGAAAATGTTTAATGTTTCAAAAAAAATCTAATTAAAATTGTTTTCTTGATTTTTCTAAAATGAACTTATTATGGGTTTCAAATGCGTCCCGATCATTACGAAAATCGGCAGTATCATTTAGACTTTTATAAAACTAAGTTGTACCGATTTACAAAATACTAGTTAGATATACTAGAACATTTAACATATGGACTCCAAAGCCCAACTGGGAGTACGTTTATATGGGGGGTATGTGAAATATTGGTCCGATTTCATAGTCTTTATCCTTGGATCAAAAAATTAAGAAAAAATTTAATAAAAAATTTAAATTATTAAAAATTAATCTTTTTTTTAATGTTGCCCATTAAAACCAATCACCTAGATGAATTATTAACATCATTATATTTTAAGAAGGGTCCTACCAATGCATTGGTATAGGTCGTTTGATTTCTGATAGTGTTTAATAAATGAACGAATATTTATGTTTATACCATAAGTTTTTATACCCTACACCATATAGTGGTTAGTGCTCATATCTTTAACACCCAAAAATATTGGTCTTATACCTTACAGCATAGTAATCGGCTCTGAATCACTTTCTGAGTCGATTAAGCTATGTCCGTCCGTATGTGTGTCCTTGCGCGCTCTTTACAAGTCGCGATTTTCAATATAATTTTATAAAATTTTACACATACGCTTTTTTGACCTAGGAACGAAGCCTATAGAAAATTGTTAAAATCGGTCCATTATTTCACCTAGCTTCCATACAAATGAAACCCCGAATAGGGGGTTTGAGCATATAATTATGTAAAATATACTTGTATCTCACTAAAAAAGAAAAGAGCTTTTAAACAAGCCTTGATGACCTGGCCGGGATCGTTCCATATTTGCTTCAAGCCCCCATATAAAACCTCTTTATGAAAATTAGTATTTTTTCAATAAATTGCTTAAATATGGCGGAACCAAGGTAAAATTCAACATAAATGCTTTATTATTAGGAAAAATAAGTCACATTTAATATTGACAAGTGGTGCAGGTTATCATATGGTCGGCCACTCCCGACTATACTTTTTTACTTGTTAATTGTTCAATTAGTTTTGAATGCGTATCTATTAGAAAAGTGAATGGAATAATCAAGTATTTAATAAGTCCATAATGTATTTATTGTTTCGACAATTTGTATATTTTTTTAAATTTTAAAGCTTTAAGAGAATATAGCTCAAAAGTGACTAGATAAGATAACTTCAGTCACTTATCACAGTTATCGCCAGAGAGTTAAGTAAAAGTTAAGAAAAGAAAGCTCTTCACATGCCGACTAGTGACTTATCATTAACACAATCAAAAACTTGGGTAACTTGAGAAAAAATTCCAAAAGAGAGAGTAATTATGATAAGTTATATATGTAGAAATGCAAAAAAACTAAAGGGCATTCTTGAATATGAGAATTATTTTATATCTCAACAAAATAAACAATTCATAAAAATGTTTAATTTTTACTGTGAGTAATTTGGCCACAAACAAAATAAGAACGATTATTTAGTTTGTCAACCACCTTCGACTAGAAGAGATTTCATTTCTTATACATTGTTGGTTCGACAACAATATCGTTCAAAAATGAAAGGTCTTATAGTTTTTGTTGCTTTACTAAGTATACTTATCGGTTTCGGTTATCTTAAATTCGATGAATTGACACGTCCACTACCGTTGCCAAAATTTGACACCAATAAATATTGGGGCCCAGGAGATGCGGCTAAATATAAAGAAGACAAAACTATAAAACCCTTTAAGATTGATATTAAGCCAGAGGTTAGTAAATAACGGGATTTTAAACAAAAATTATAGAAAAATAGAAGAAAAATTTAAATCTCCCAAATTTCTAACATTATATTTGGATATTTATGTATGTGTTTAAAATTATAATTATAAATCAGGTAATCAACGATTTACGAAAACAATTAAATCGTACTTTAAAATTAACTGAACCTTTGGAAGGTGTTAAATTTGAATATGGTTACAACACTGATGCTATGACCCAAGTTGTGGAATATTGGCGTGAAAAGTATTTAGCCAAATGGTCGGAACGTCAAGAGTTTCTAAACAGTTTGCCTCAATTTACCACCGAGATTCAAGGGTAAGATATACTTAAGACCATTTCCTAGAAATAGATTTAAAATTAATTTTATTTTAACTTTTTTTTAGTTTGCGCATCCACTTTATACATGCTAAACCCAGTGCTGAGGCTTTGAAAAAGAAGAAAGTTTTACCTCTACTATTGCTACATGGCTGGCCAGGTTCAGTGCGTGAATTCTATGACTTCATACCAATTCTTACCGAACCCGCCGATATGAGTGAATATGTTTTTGAAGTTGTTGCACCTTCATTAGTAGGCTACGGCTGGTCACAGGTAATTGAATATGTTTTTTATTAAATAAATAGTTATTAATATTAATATGATTTTAGCCTGCTAGTAAAATCGGTATGAATCCTGCTGAAATGTCTATTGTCATGCGTAATTTAATGTTACGTTTGGGCTTTAACAAGTTTTTGGTACAAGGAGGTGATTGGGGTTCTATAATTGGTAGCAGTTTGGCTACTATTTTCCCCGACAATGTTATTGGTTATCATTCTAATTTGTGCGTACTTAATACTCCTCTATCTATAATGAAGAGTGTAGTTGCCAGTTTTAAACCTGATAAATTCTTACCCTCACGTTTTCTGCGCGAACATCATTACCCCTTGACTGATAAATTATTGTGGGCCTTAGAAGAAAGTGGTTACTTCCATATACAAGCCACAAAACCCGATACTATTGGCACAGTTTTAATTAGCAATCCAGTTGGTTTGGCTAGTTATATTCTTGAAAAATTCCAAGGACTTACAGGTCCAGCTAATAACCAACGTTTTGATGGCATGACCAAAGTCTTTACCATAGACGCTTTATTGGACAATGTTATGATTTACTATTTGACAAATTCCGCTACAACTGCTGCACGTCTGTACAAGGAGTCAATGTCTAAGGAATTTTTAAGTTATCAAATGGATCGTGTTCAGTCACCTGCACCTATGGGTTGTGCCCGTTTCCTTTTTGATTTACCAGCCGCTATGGACTGGCAATTAAAGGACAAATTCCCCAACTTAATTCATAGCAAATACTTTCACCAGGCTGGCCATTTTGCCGCTTTGGAATTGCCCGTTATGTTATACATTGATTTGGCAGAATTTGTGGCTAAAATTAATATAGAATAATTTCATACATTTAAATATTTTTTAAAGGTTTAATAATTATTTATTTTATAATGTTTTTTTATTAAAAAGATTTGTTAAAAAATTTAACAATATGTAGTTAATATTTGCATAATTTTTCATTAATGCAGAGTGCAATCTTACAAACTTCCGTACTGTGCCCAAATACTCGCATGCTTTAATATTAACAAGTTACAGTTGGTAATAACGAATACACAGGCCAACAAAATTTGGCCGGCCATATGATACCCTACACCAGAGATAATGTTGAAAATGTAGGAGTAGGTATTTTTTAATAATAAATCATTTAGTTTGTTTTTTTACCGTAATTCCGAAATATTTTCGCAATCTGATGACAAAAAAAAGAGATTTTCTAAAAGAGGGGGTTTACGAGGGCAAGGGTACATATGGGCCTATCCTTATAAGTTTTGGTAGAGGGATTTATTTCTATATGAATGTCATTAATGCAAAATTACATAGTGATATTAATGTTTATATGTGATATCAGACTTTCAAGTCATTTTCTGAAAGGGACTTAGTATGGGGGCTAGGATCAAATGAAGCCCGATCAAATTTGAAGAGATACTAGAACATTTCACATAACTATGAGCACAGAAGCCCTCTTCGCGGGTGCCGTTATAAGGGGGTGCTATGTTTTAATAACACAATAACGTATTAATTGTTTTGACAATTTGTACTATTTTAAAACCAAACAGATCCAAAGCCTTAAAAGATTCTACCGTAAAACTGACCAGATAAGATAAGTTAGTCACTTATCACTTATCACAGTCAAAACTTTGTCTAGCTAAACTCTGGTAAAATTTAAAAAAAGAGAGAGGAAATATCCTAAGTACTCTTTGTAGAAATATACAAACAAGAAAGTGTATTCTTTGAATACTGAGTATAATTTTTTATATCTCACCAATAACAAAAAGTTCTATGTGAAAATCCCTATGTAGATGCATATGTTTGTACAAATACGTACATACATACAAAAACAATAACAATAAACAAATCATAAAAAAGTTTAATTTTTATTTTTACTGTGAGCAATTTGGCCACAAACAAACGAAATAAAAACGATTATTCAGTTTGACAACCACCTTCGACTCGAAGAGATTTCATTTGTTCTACATTGTGTGAGTTGGACAAGAATATCGTTCGAAAATGAAAGGTCTTATAGTTTTTGTTGCTTTACTAAGTATACTTATCGGTTTCGGTTATCATAAATTCAATGAATTGACACGTCCGCTACCGTTGCCAAAATTTGACACCAATAAATATTGGGGACCAGGTAATGCAGCCAAATATAAAGAAGACAAAAGTATAAAACCATTTAAGATTGATATCAAACCAGAGGTTAGTAATTAACACTAGAATATGACCTTTGACTACTTAAAATTTTTAAAATTAGATTTGAAATTTGTATTTGTTTGTTTTGTTATATAAAAAAACATATTTCAAATTAAAATTTTATTACTAAAATCTATATGGATTCAAAACAGTAGCTAATAGTTAACACTATTTGAATAATAATTTTACAATTACATGTACGAATGAGTGTTAATGTACTTGCACAATGGGAAAATTATTAATAGAACATATGGTATACAAACCTTTGATCAAAAATTTACTATATAGCTACGAATACTCGTTACAATGAAAATCTTTCTTCTTCTAAATTCATAATAAATTAAGGTTTTTGAAAATTTAACAAATAATAATGTATAGTCGGGCATGGCTGAACATATGATACCCTACACCTGTGAGTATGTTAAAAATGTGGATTATTTTTGTAATAATTACTTTAATTCTAAAAATTTCAAATAATTGTTGACAAAAAAAGTGATTTTCTGAATGACAGGTTATATGGGGACAAGGGTAAATATGGTCCTATCCGTATAATTTTTGGTGGAACGCTTTACGATTACATTAACGTTATTTATGCAGAAATTCTTCCTAATATTAGTGTTTAAAAGTGATTTTTCACTTTCAAGTGATTTTCTGAAAGAGACTTTGTTTGGGGTCTAGGGTCAAATGAAGCTCGATCATAACGAAAAACGACAGAATCATTTAGACTTATATGAAACTTAGATTTGACATTTTACATAATTATAAGCTCAAAGACCTATTCGGGGGGTATGGTTGTATGAAGGCTAGACAAAATAATGGTTAGGCTTCGTCCTTGAGTCAAAAGAAGAGTATTTGTCTTAAAAATTTCGACCTGTAGCGTGCGCACAAGGTTTATATTGGTACGCAGACGGACGGACTGACATACATAGCTTAATCGACTCAGAAAGTGATTCTGAGGTATGGGACCAATATTTTTGGGTGTTGCAAACATCAGCACAAACGCATAATATCCTCTCCACTATAGTGGTATAGGGTATAATTATATATAGTGGTGTATGATGTAAAAACATAGTGACAATGACAATTAAAATTTCTTTAACAGCAAAAGACCTTTATCATCGGTCTATTCATATTGGACCCAATTTTTATCAGGACCCAAGCTTTTATGATAAATTTTTACATAGTCATTCTTAATATTGTATTTCTTTGTTTGAATACTGAAATCTAATGTTTAATTATCGTTAGATTAATAACATATGTAGGTCAATAGGCTAATTACTATATTAGGCCGACTCACAGAAAAATTTATTTAATGTCAACTGTCCGGAAAAATATTCAAAGGGGAAACGATTTTACATATTTAATTCAACAAACTTTGTTTTATTTTATGACGACTGAAAGCTGTGAAATTCCAAAATGGAACAAATATGTAGAAGCTAAATATAAAAACAATTTTGACATATATTTCGATAAAAAGCGAAAATAATATGTCTTTCAAATCCATTCAAGATCATTTTGTTTACCAAAAATACTCAAAATAAATTTTTAAAATATTTTTCCCATAATCAGCTCAAAATAACGGAATTTTTGGGATCCATTTCGGAATGATTGAAAATACATTAAAACGTATTGATTGAGAGGTATTCCTATATGATATTCTTAAAAAAAGCTGTTCTTCGGGGCACTCTAATGTACGTGTTTATTAATTAAAAATGCAAGAACATTAGAGTTTACATTTAAGAACAAAGTCTCAAATAATGGTATAAATTCATAACTATTTATAAGTCCAACATTATTGTCAAATATACATAAAAGTTAAAAGCCTTAAAACAGGGCCCAAATTAGGGCATACGATATCGATCGAAACCACCATTTAGATTCTATTGAAATTTCGATCGATATCCGATATGCCGTAATTTGGGCCCAGAATTTATATAGAATTATTCTAAAACTTATGTATATATAGATATACATCGTTTTCTAATACACATTTATTTCCCAACAGGTCATTACCGATTTGCAAAAACAACTAAATCGTACTTTAAAATTAACTGAACCTTTGGAAGGTGTTAAATTCGAATATGGCTACAATACTGATGCTATGACTCAAGTTGTGGAATATTGGCGTGAAAAGTATTTAGCCAAATGGTCGGAGCGTCAAGACTATCTAAACAGTTTGCCTCAATTTACCACCGAAATTCAAGGGTAAGACATACTTAAGACCATTTGCTAGAAATTAATTTTGTTTATTTTTTATGTAGTTTGCGCATCCACTTTATACATGCTAAACCCAGTGCTGAGGCTTTGAAAAAGAAAAAGGTTTTACCTTTACTATTGCTACATGGCTGGCCCGGTTCAGTGCGTGAATTCTATGACTTCATACCAATTCTTACCGAACCCGCCGATATGAGTGAATATGTTTTCGAAGTTGTTGCACCTTCATTGGTTGGTTACGGCTGGTCACAGGTAATTGAGTATGAACCTTGTTCAGTAAATAAATAGCTACTAATATTAATATCATTTTAGCCTGCTAGTAAGGTCGGTCTAAATGCTGCTGAAATGGCCATTGTCATGCGTAATTTAATGTTACGTTTGGGCTTTAACAAGTTTTTGGTACAAGGAGGTGATTGGGGTTCCATAATTGGCAGCAGTTTGACCACTATTTTCCCCGATAATGTTATTGGTTATCATTCCAATATGTGCATCCTAAATACTCCTCTATCTTTAATGAAGAGTGTAGTTGCTAGTTTTAATCCTGATAAATTTTTACCCGCTCGTTTCTTCCGCGAACATCATTTTCCCTTGACTGATAAATTATTGTGGGGTTTGGAAGAAAGTGGTTACTTTCATATTCAAGCCACAAAACCCGACACTATTGGCACAGCTTTAATTGCCAATCCAGTTGGTTTGGCTAGTTATATTCTTGAGAAATTCCAAGCATCCACAGGTCCCGCTTATAACCAACGTTTCGACGGCATGACCAAAGTTTTTACCATCGACGCTTTATTGGATAATGTGATGATTTACTATTTGACAAATTCCGCTACAACCGCTGCACGTCTGTACAAGGAGTCTATGTCTAAGGAATTTTTAAGTTATCAAATGGATCGTGTTCAGTCACCTGCGCCCATGGGTTGTGCTCGTTTCCGTTTTGATTTACCAGCCGCCATGGACTGGCAATTAAAGGACAAATTCCCCAACTTAATTCATAGCAAATACTTTAACCAGGCTGGTCATTTTGCCGCTTTGGAAGTGCCCGTCATGCTGTACATTGATTTTGCAGAATTTGTGGCTAAAATTAAAATGGAATAATTTCATAAATTTTAATATTTAGCAAAGTTTTGTTAATTTATTTTATAATGTTTTTTTATTAAAAAAAATTTGTTACAAAAATTAAATGTGTAATATTTTTATAATTTTGCAGTAATGCAAGTAATCTTTCTTACATACTGGTACCGAATTACTTTATGCGAGATCGATATAGCAAAAATATTATAAATTTCATGTTCAATGTGCCATCATTGGAGCCCGCGAAGCATTTTTCGCTGCTAGGTCAAACTTTTATGCTGTGGACAATTGAAAGTTCATATAGGGTTAACGTAAAACTTCTTGTAAATTTATGTTCTACAGACTGGTTGAGTAAATATGGTGTCAACTCAGAAACTCAGTTTCCTGGACGTTACTGCTATATACGGAATAATATCACTCCCAAGATATTTGGATTTAATTTCGGC